ATATATATATATATATATATATATATATATATACATACATATATATATACATATATATAGATGAGCGATATCACACTCTTAGCAGTGTGATATGGCTGTATATTGGCACTAGTGGGAGGCGTGCATTGGCTCGAGGCCAATATATATATAAATATAAGAAGAGTTCAGATGCAAAAACCTCTAAGTGACATGTGAAAGTTTCGTCTTATATTAACATTTTTCTTAGGCTCCCATGTCTTGATTCAGTCATTTCACTTTTATGGCACGAAGAATAGGTTTTACTTTCATCGCTTGTAACATGAAATAAACAAACAAAAACACAAGAGGTTCAGAAAAATGCTCATTGTAGAAGAAAATTGCAGATGGCACATTTTGCAGGTTTTTGCATTTAAACTCTTCATATACCGATGAAGTCAAAATTATTAGCCCTCCAGATTTATTAGCCCCCCTGTAAATATTTTTCACCAATTTCAGTTTAGCGAATGAAGATTTTTTTTCAGCCCATTTCTAATCATAATAGTTTTAATAGCTGATTTGTAATAACTGATTTATATCATCTTTGCCATGATGACAGCACAATATTTGACTAGATATTGTTCAAGACACTTTTATACAGCTAAGTGACATTTAAAGGCTTAACTAGGTAATTGGGCAAGTCATTGTATAATGATGGGTTGTTCTGTAGACAATCCAAAACAAATATTGCTTAAGGGAGCTAATAATATTGAGCTTGAAATTGCTTTAAAAAATTAATAACTGCTTTTAGTCTAGTTGAAATCAAACATAAGACTTTCCCCAGAAGAATAAATATTATAGGAAATACTGTAAAAAAATTCCTGAATCTGTTCAACAACATTTAGAAAAAAATGTAAAAAAATATTTCACAGGAGGGAGAATCATTTTGGCTTCAACTGCATATTGATGACCCTTTGAGCAAAGCATACTTGGTGAGCTGCGCCAGCTGGAACTCCACCGAGCGTTTGTTCTCCAGGGCAGCGTTGATCTCCTGTTTGAGTTGCTTCTCTGTCCCTTTCAGTCGCTCTGAATCCATCTTCCAGTTTTTCAGCTCGTTCTGGGACATCACACGCTTCCCTGTCTCCTGCTCCAGCTGCACCCGCAGATCCTTCACCTGTTAGGGTGGAGAAAAGACAAATTTAATAGTTTCTAATCCTGTCAAGCCGATATTTTTAGTCTTAAACTGAGTTGTACACTAGAGGTCGACTGATGTATCGGTTTTGCTGAATAATTATCGGTTATCTGCAAAAATCTTGTGTGTGAATAACCAATTTCTAATGGTAAAAACATATTAATTTTGTTTGTTATAAACACACTTGATCAAAACAGTCTGCAGAAACACTTTGATTGACATTCTGCCTTTTTACGTGTCATCAGAGGGGGAAAGCCCCGCCCACTAGTGACCACCTCCCCCTTATCAGCATAGGATGTTAGTCTTGTTTTAGGATCTGCCACTATGCCGACACACAGGCAGTAGTAGCTCCGCCCTTTTCTGAAAAGAGCTAATTTGAATTTAAAGCGACAGACACACCACAATTAAGATCAAAGCCTATAAAAAGGGTCCGTTTCAGAGAGTTATACAGTATTTGTGTGGTATTTTGAGCTAAAACTGTACATACACTCTCTAGAAACATCAGATATTTATTTTAGATCTTGTTAAAAGGGGTATATAAAATCTTTAAAATCATTTTAATCTGTTTATAATAGTACTAATAATAATAAAGAACGATCAAAGTTTCTTTACATTTTTTTCCCCAATGCCTGTCTTTAAATTTACCCCATTTATTTTGTTACGTTTATTTTTTTTTCTCCAGTATTCATTAAAATTATAGGTTTAATAATCAGTTATCAGCAACGGAGTCTAATCTAGCTATCGATATGGGCAAAACATAGAGTTCCCGTTCACCTCATCCTCCAGCCTCTCCTTCTGCTTCATCAGCTGCTCCATCTTCTGTACGGACTGCTTGAGGTCAAACTCCAGCATGGAGCACTGTTTCTCCACCTCCACCACCCGGCTCTCAGCCCGCATGCGCAGCGTGGTTTCCTCAGACACCTTCTGCTCCACCGCTGGAAAGGGGAGATGACTTCATTAGCTTTCATAGCAGTGAACGCATGTTTGGCATTTCTAACGGCCCCCAACATAACAAAAGGGGAGTCAAATTGAACAGTACATGTAGTTATATTAGTATAATAAACAGAATTTTTTAGAGAGTTCTGCTCATCTGTATGAGAGTTTTTGCCTGAGCACGAAGAGAAACAAGGTGCTGTACAGCGTCTGGACACGTAGCAAGATGGACGTGGCACATTAAGCACGCACACATACCATGCATAGCAGCTGACTTTGACTCCTCGATAGACTCGTATTTGTCTGTGAGTTGCGCCTTTGTGATGCGGTGCTCCGTTAACTCCTGATCGAGCCGCTGCTGTAGAGTCTTCAGCTTATAGTTGAGGTCAATTTCCAGACTGTTCTTCTCCTGAGCATACAGAAACACGAGTTTAACAACTGCTACAGGGCCTACACAACCCCCTTAAATCAAACAAAGAAAGCAATGGCAATGCAGAGCGCAAATATACAGGGTCTAATATGACATATAGGTTTACTTTAGCACTTCATCTTTCTCTTGTGAACATTTTTAGGCTCATTGTTTCTCACTAACAATCAATACCTAACATTATTTGTCCATGTTAGTAAATACATTAAAGATTGTATTACCAAACTGTTAATGTATGACAGTGCAAACACAAATACAAATGTTACTATAGTGTAAAATACATCAATATTGACGTATTAATAATAAAAACAACAAACCTTTTCAAGAATATTACATCTTTCCTGAACATGTTTCCTCTCCGTTTCCACTTTAGTCAGACTTTGCTTCAAGTTCTTATTGTCCTCCTGTAGACCCATGATACGAACTGCAGAGAAAGGGAGACCTCAGATTTAGACCTTGCTAAATTATTATGATATTTGAAAAGGAAATGATGATGGGCATGATTTGGAAAGACCAAGAACCGTGACACATTACATACAGAGTTGAGGGTCTAAACCAGGGGTGTCAAACTCATTTTAGCTCAGGTGCCGCATGGAGTAAAATCTGTTCTCAAGTTATCGTGAGATCTCCTCAGTGTGCAGTGTTTGAAATATACTTGCAGTGGTCGCCTGATTGAAGAACACCCTTTTTTACACAGCACATAAATGGTCAACTACATGCAACAAACAAAAAATAATGTGATTTTTAGCTTGATTTGTATTTATTATGACACTGTTATACACCTCTTCTTTTCAATGGCAGGGTTCAACGCTAAGGGTTTTTCCTACTGGTCAGATTTTTACTTGCCCTGCCAAAATTTTCACTGGCCCGAGCAACAAAAAAAAAAAAAAAAAAAAAAAAAAAAAAAAAAATCGAAGTTAATTGCTATTTTTTAGCCACATATATTAAATAATGTCACAAAATATTGCCTGTGAATCTAGGATTTAAATGTTTGAAAAATTTTTAAATATTTAGCAGTTAAATGTAGAGTATATACATGCAGGTATTTTATTGCAAAACAAAAGGTGGCCGACTTAAAAGTGACGGCAAACCAAGCAAAACATCATTTATTTCGTCGTGTTGTACCCAAGTAAATGTTTCCACAATGTTAGAAGCAGTCGTTTTTGTCGGTTATGTTGCCGTCTATTAAAATTTAGTGACAAGGCAGCACTGCCTCGATCGGGCTAGTAACGATTCAGTCTACTGTCCCGAGCATCTCTCACGCTGTCCCCGGGCCATCGGGCAGTCCTTATTGATGAGTCCTGAATGGGTTAAAGTTATTTTAAAAAGGCTGTTGAAATAATAGAAATCCACTATTTCTCTTACTTTTATGCTATTTAGGAGCCATGTGCACACACAAACACGTAAAGGGTGCTCGCTCTCTCTCTCTCTCTCTCTCTCTCTCTCTCTCTCTCTCTCTCTAAAGTTGCTATATTGGAATGACATTTACAGTGTTGTCAAAACATTTTAGATATGTATAAAGTATGTAATATATTAGCATCATTAAATTAATAAAATATACAGCAAATTAGAAATAAATATCAGAAAAAATGAATAAAAATAGACATTATTGCAAAATTTTTTAATAACTACTAGAATAAAAAGTGTAGATTATTTAAATCAGGCAAAGTAGTTGATTAACCATTTCTGATGGTGTACAAATATTTTGCAGCCATTATAGATGTCACTTTGTTCTCTCTGAGTATAAAGTTTATCCGAGTCATTTATTAAATGATTAATCGTTTAATGTTTCTCTTGTGGCTGCAAAATGGCATTGCAAAAACGCATACAAATAACGGCAATGTCAAAATGCGAAAGTAAAACCTGAATCCTGGACATTTTAGGAGATTCAGAAACTACGGTCGGATGCATTTTGGCGGGAAAGGTGCTATTGGCGGGAAAAGTGCTATTAGCGGGAAAAGTTTGCTATTGCGCCATCCAGTGGACACAATTGGAAGAGCAGTATATTTTATTGAAAATTTTCAGCTCACAGAATCATCTCGCGGGCCGCAATTAATTTGTTTGCGGGTCTGATCCGGCCGTACGTTTGACCCCCCTGGTCTACACCAAAGTTTATTATAGTAAACAAACCAAACAAGTCTAAAACTATTGGTATCCGTTTTTCCTTCACTTTGGTCAATTGGTGAAGTTTTTTCTTCGCCACTGTCTCCACTGGCTTGCTTGGTTTGGCACTTTTGGAGCTGTGCATCACTGGATTTGCTCTTCAGTGTTTGGACTTTCAGCAGTGAAATTTAAACCACACTGACCTGAATTAAACTGAACTTCAACTCTGAAAACTGAACTGACTCTGTTTACATTTACTAGAACTTCTGTCTTAAGCTGCTTTGACACAATCTACATTGTAAAAGCGCCAGTGAAATAAAGATAAACTGAACTGAGGTGTCTCACCTTGCAGTTCTCGGATCTCCTCTGAGCCTTGGCTGCAGCTCCGTCTCTCGGTGTCCAGCGTGGTCTGCAGCTGCAGCAGCTCTTTCTCCAGCTGTTGTTTGACACTTTCTGCGGCGCGAATCTTCTCCTGCAGCTCCCGGTTTATGCTCTCCAGCTGGCTCATAGTCTTGCCCATTTCTGTGTGGCTCTTCCTCAGGCGCATCACTGTGTCTGACTCAGCGCGCAGAAGATCGTTGGCTTCCCCCAGCTGTGGATGACAATGTTGTGTGTGAGATGTTGTTTGAATGTCACGTGGTACAAAAACAGGCCTCAATATAAAGATAGAAGAGCCAAAAATGAGGATTTACAGTTCCAGTGAGGTTATCAGTCTTTTAGGGCGGAGCTATAAGTCAATTTGGGTGGGGCTATCAGTTGTTTAGGGCGGGGCTATCAGTCGTTTAGGGTGGGGCTATCAGTCATTTTGGGTGGGGCTATCAGTCGTTTAGGGCGGGGCTATCAGTCGTTTAGGGCAGGGCTAACCGTCCTTTAGGGTGGGGCTATCAGTTATTTAGGGTGGGGCTATCAGTTGTTTAAAGCGGGGCTATCAGTCGTTTAGGGCGGGGCTATCAGTTGTTTAGGGCAGGGCTATCCGTCGTTTAGGGGGGGGCTATCAGTCATTTAGGGTGGGGCTATCAGTTGTTTAGGGCGGGGCCGTTAGTTGTTTAGGGCAGGGCTATTAGTCATTTAGGGTGAAGCTATCAGTCGTTTAGGGCAGGGATATCAGTCATTTAGGGTGGAGCTATCAGTCATTTAGGGTGGAGCTGTCAGTCATTTAGGGCGGAGCTATCAGTCATTTAGGGCGGGGCTATCAGTCATTTAGGGCGGTGCTATCAGTCATTCAGGGCGGAGCTATCTGTTTTTTAGGGTGGAGCTATCAGTTATTTAGAGCAGAGCTATCAGTCATTTAAGGCAGGGCTATCAGTCGTTTACTGTGGAGGCTATCAGTCATTTAGGTAGAGGTGGAGCTGTTAGTTGTTAAGGGTGGGGCTATCAGTCGGTTAGGGCAAGGCTATCAGTTGTTTAGGGCGGAGCTATCAGTCATTTAAGGTGGAGCTATCGGTTGTTTGCGGTGGGGCTATTGGTTGTTTAGTGTGGGGCTATCAGTCGCTTAGGGTGGGGCCATCGGTTGTTTAGGGTGGAGCTATCAATTGTTTAGGGTGGGGCTATCAGTCATTTAGGGTGGAGCTATCAGTCGTTTAGGGTGAGGCTATCGGTTCTTTTGGGTTGGGGCTATCAGTCGTTTAGGGCAGGATTATTGGTCCTTTAGGGAGGAGCTTTGAGTAATTTAGGGCTGGGCTCTCTGTTATTTAGGGCAGGGCTATAAGGTAATGTCTCATTTCTGCTCTGCTCTTCTCCATTCATCAATATTCCTTTGTTTTGCCCTTTGTGCAATTCACCAAGAACTTATTTCCACCATTACAAGAATCCTGCAGTGATGTAAGCCGTAAAACTAGGATGTTTTCATTATGTGTCATGTGCTTTAAGATAATGGAGATGTAACACAGACATAAATCACCCACTGTATCATCTAATAGTGATATACAGTGATATACTAATAGTGCTACAAAAGAACAACGCCACAGAAGTGACTGGTAAAATAGCTTTCTGTATATTTTTTATCACTTCAAAATAATATGCCAGTGTTTCATATTGCATGCACACGCCCTGTCAACATATACCTACATCACTGTACCGTGCAGGCTTAGATCTTGCTCTGAATTAGAAGCTAAAATGGCATTTCTATAATTAAAATCCCTCCCAGTTCCTGCGGAGCAATGACGCCAAAAAGTGTGTACAGCACTTCCTCCAATAGTTCTAGGAAGTGAGATCATGTTCCAGTGTTGTAAAAGCTCTCATTATAATTTCACAGGCTAAATTATAAAAAGGAAAATGCTTTTCTCTTGTAGCTGTCTTTTAAATGTTAAAGATGTAGAAGAAAGAAGAAAAGAAAACCTTTTCCCATTTTTGTGTTGGAAAAAAATTGAGTTTATTTACTGATAGACCTAATGACCAATATATTGATGTGATTTTCTTCCTAAATCTTTTATGATCGTTCTGACATGAAGGACTTTGCTTGAATAAATATTCGCAAAGAAGAATATGAAAAATAAAATAAAATCACAACACTTATAATCTGAGAAGTGTCCATAAGCTTACTTGGTTCTGCAGCTGGGCGATCTTGTCATTGTTTTGACTGATTTTCCTCAAGTCTTCCAGCTGCTCCTTCAGCGTTGATACTAGACAAAAAGCAAATACCACAAGTAAGAATTAAAGAAGCATTTAATCTTTTATAATATAATACTAACAAAGCCCTTAAATTATATATATATATATATATATATATATATATATATATAAATATATATATAGTATTTTTATTATTACAACCTGAATGACATTTGGCTAAATTAACTCCTGTTAGTCCCATGAAAGTGTTCATATTAGCAATTTATATAGGCGATTCTAGAATTACGGATATATTTTTGCGACTCCAAGATAAACTTTCAATCATTTATTAAAAAAACAAACATTTTAATGAAACCCTTTTGAATAATAACAAATTATAATCAAGTTATCTCCAAAGATAGTATTTGTCTGTGTGTGTAGGATAATTTTTTTTCTTGAAAATATTAGCTTAAAACGTTTGATACATTAATATTACATTAAATATGTCACAGAGTTACTGTAATATTTCAGTCAATTCCTCATTTACTTCTTTAAAAAATAATAATATGACTAAAATTGTGTTTTAGACATGCCATGTGGTGTTTGCTTTGAGGTTAGCATCTTTAGCTAAAGCACAAAATGGTGTAAATGTTCAACTCTGTTAGTCGTTTAAAACGTTTTAACAATAATTTAAACAACCAATGGTAACAATTAAATAATCCCTAAGTGTTTTGTATAATTCACATTAAACATCCCATGAAATTAAAATAAAGTTTTTTAGATGTTAGCATCAGTATTGTTAGTTTTAAGGTTATCTATAAGCTAGTGTGCTCCAAAAACAGTGACAAAATTCACATTCAGAAGATATAAACCTGATATAAAGCTTCTAGTTTGTCACTTCCGCCTAAATGGATCAACAGTTTTATTCACGTCACCTCATACTTCAGTTTCTCATCAAATATTCAGACCAATCAAATGCTTTCAAGTATCTGACATGCCCCGCCCCCTTCATCTCATTGGCTTTTCAGTTGATGCACTTGAGCTAAACCACTCCCATTGTCAGAGCTGTGATAAAACAATGCTATTGTCTGTTTTCTCTTAAAGAGGAGGAGCTACACTATGCCACGCCCTCTTTTCGTGTTCCAGTCAAGATCATGCCAAACATCGAATAAAAGTGCACATTTCAAAGCACTTGATGAAACATTTAACAAAAGATTTTGTTTACTGTGTGAACTCTAAACATAGTAAGCTATAAAATCTACTTTCTGGAATACCCAACAGGATGTCGGTTGCAAAATTAAAAAGACACACCTTCGTTTTCCAGATTTCTTCTCTTTTCAGCCTCCTGGTCAGCTTTCCTTTGATATTCAGTTGCTCGGTGCTGGATCATGATCTTGTCTTTCTCCAGTATTGACATGTTAGCCTCAACACTCTTCCTTAGGTTACTCTGAAACATGTCAGGACGACAGGATAACTAAAAATGTGCCTACTAAAAATAGCCTGTTTTAAAAAGCTCTCGTTAAAACAAAACACAAACCCTCTGTAATTATTGCAGATTCGTGCTTTAGAAATGAAATCATTTCACTCACCTCCTCGTCTAACTCTTTCATTATCTTGTCTAGCTTTGTATTGGACGCCCTGAAGGGGAAATGAATCAAAAGAAGAGATTTCAAAGGCTTGATTTTAACGTGAGACAAAAGGCATTGTCATTTAGGTTTGGATGTAGGGATGAGGAATTAGAGGAGCTGTTGAGGATGGATTGATGGACGACTGAATAAATGGTTTGATTTGAGATTTGTATTTGGGATGATTGTGGCTAGATGGATATTTGGGTGCCTGGTTCTGATTGGATGGATGAGATGTTTGTTTTGATGCAGGGGTTTGGTTCAGAAAAACCAAATAAGACGTTTGACTGGTTTGAATAGGGTTTTTGGTTCTGAATGGACGGACAAAGCTCAGAACCAATGAATAAATAACATATCTGGATGATTTTGGATTGATGAATGGGGCGTATGATTGGTTTGGATGAGGTGTGATTATTTATTTATTAAATTTTTTGTGGATGGGTTGTTAAAGGGTGTTTTCACATCTGTAGTTCGCTTCATTTGGTCCGGACCAACGGTAATAAATGATAAACTGTTGCATTTTCTGGTGTCTTTGGGTCGTTTTCACACCACACTGCTGGCTTTGGGCTGAACCAGTTAAAAAGAACCAAAAATGCAGTCACGTGACAAAATCCACATCTCTCATTGGCCAGATGTTGTTGAACATAGTTTCTAAACTGCTTATTGATTGGTCAGAATTCACGTGCGGGAAAATGCCAATGAACTCTCGCCAGTAAACAAACTGACAGACACAAAATGTCGCTCTATACTATGAAGGGAAGACTGCGCTGATTGATTGTATCCCTGCTTTAGACAAAAAATACATTTCGAGAAAGAAGCACGGCTGGAAAACAGTGTTTTAATCATAGACTGTAAAATATATGGACGTAGTGTCCGTGACGTCACCCATAGGTTTCTAAAGAGCGCAAAAGAAGCCACAAGTAGGCGCGGCCAACCGTCGCCATTTTGTTCGCGCGTCATCACACCCACGGCAGGATACCAATCAAGGGCAAATAGGCGGAGAGTAGGCGGAGCTACAGACAACTGCTGGCATTTAGCTTGGACCTGGTTCAGACACACTTTACTTTGGGAGAACGCTTAATACTTTATCACCTGCGACTCGTTTGTATTCTGACCACTTGTGCTTGGTTGTATACTATATCAATAAAGTGTTTAGTCTTTTAAAAACACTGCTGTAATACATTGAGCCACTAAACATTGTTCTTATGACGTTTTTCAACAGGAGGAAAACGCAAATTACTTCCAAACACTTCAGATATAGTCTGTGTTAGTTAATGTAAGACTATTGATGAAATCCAGCATAACACTGTATGACAACACTTCAGATGACTGTTCTAGAGCCTACAGCTAATCAATCTGACAGATTCTGAATCGCATTACAGCTCTAAATATAAATGATAAATGATCTTAAATAAAACAAATACATGTATAGAGATGGTATATAAGTATATAACTTCACTCACATGGGAAACGGAGGCCACGTGAATGGTTTGTGAGCACAATTAAGTGCACTCAGCATGCCATGCCATCTAATAAGTGTAGGAAACAAGTCTAAAAGGCAGTTGAGTGTGTAAAGCCACATAAAACAACACAGAAATAAGATAAATATGCCGAGTTCAGTGGCTAATCTGCAGGATTCAGCTGAGGTGACGTGACGGCGACCAACGAGAACTAGCTGTCACTCAAGTGGCCACGCCCTTAATTATGCAAACCTAATATAACTTAATATAAAGGAAACGGATGAGTTATAAAAAATTCACCCCCCTCACAGTTGTCATGAAGGGTAATATTAGGTAATCTTTTTTTGTACCAGGCTGTAAACACCTTTTTTTCTGCTGTAAAGTTGGCCATTCTAACAGTGGGCTCAATTGAAATTTGCTCTGTTTTGGAGCCAGGAGCGGCCAGGACTAGCGGCATTTCAGATGAACTGCAGTTTTAGTTACTTCCGTATTGGCTTCCTGAGAGAGAGCAGGAGGTTGCCGCTTGGTTTTAATGCATCGCAGGTCACTTCAGGAGGAGGCGTGAATTAATTTAGCTAAAATTCGACATGGTCATCTTGCGGAAATATCACCAACCATCCATCAGGTAATGTTTTCCCCTCTCTCTCTCTCTCTCTCTGTTGGTAAAGCGCTGTCAACAAATATTTATCCTCCATAACCCATAATGCACAGCGCATCAGTCTACGGCAGCTGGATTAGTCCAAAAGGCGCAGTACTTTTTGCGGTTGGGTCTGTTTTAGTTTGGATCATATTCTCACCACAAATGAATCGCACTAGAGTTCGTTTTCACTCTTGGTGCAGTTCGTTTGGGCAGGTGTGAATGCAGCAATCGTACTCGAGTACGCACCAAAAGCAGATCTAAAAAGCGTCCTGAGACCTGCTTGAAAGGTGGTCGCGGTACGCTTTTTTAGTCTGCTTTGGTGAATTGTTAACTGGTTCTGGATGAATGAATAAAATGTAGTGGTGGATGAGGAGATGAATGGATGAAGTGTCTGGGTGGTTTTCGATCAGACTGGTATGGATAGACAGATGGATGGTTGCATCTGAGTAAATGAACATATAAACACCTGCACTTCTGCTCCATCTCATCTCTCAGCTGCATCTCACTGTGAACTTGTTCTTCGAGCTGATATATCCTCTTCTGAAGATTCTCCAACTGAGAGATCAGAGAAACACAATTAGTTCATCATTTGACAGGATCACCATTATAATCCTGTGAAGCTCTTTAAGTTAAAGCCTTTGTTTGGAGGGTTCTTACGAGACTCTTATCTTCTTTTGTCGAGCTGCGTTTGTCACTTGTCTTTATAGTTGATTCCTGAGAAAACCTGTCAGAGAATCAATCATTTAGTTATTGTTTATCAACACAATCATTTCATTATTGTGCCAGTCTGTTTTCAGTACTCACAGGTTATTGCTGTAGTAGGTGAAGCCTACAAATGGAAGTTGGTTGCCTACAAATGCTTTGGGAATGGGGAAGGTTTCCTCCTCCCCTCGATCCTCCTCAATGTCGTCAAAGTTGCTGGTGTCAGTGTCACAGCTTAACTCCGGCACAACTGGGGCAGCCGCTACATAAAACAACAGATTAGCAGATTTTAATGACAACAAATAGAAAGCTGATTTAAAAGGCAGATTTAAAAAAGCTTTATTTACATACAATTAATTTAATATTAATCTCCATAAATGTCCTTAACAAAGACGAACTTGAACAATGGAAAACAAATAGGACTTCACAATGGGTAGTTGAAGTCAAAATTATTGGCCCTCCTATGAACTTTCTTTTTCAAATATTTCCCAAAAGATGTTGAACAGATTCAGGAATTTTTCACAGTATTTCCTATAATATTTTTTCTTTTTAAGAAAGTTTTATTTGTTTTATTTCGGCTAGAATAAAAGCAGTTTTTATTTTTTTCTTAAACCATTTTAAGGTCAATATTATAAACCCACCTTAAGTTATTCTTTTTTTTTCCGATTGTCTGACCCAATGCCTAAAATGGTTGGATCCAAAATCTGATTCACAGGTCAAAGCTTATATCAGAGGCCTCAGGTATGATCAACAACCTTTTTAGAAATTTGTGTTGATTGAATCTGTGAAACCAGTTGGTTCGCAAAAGCAATCTGAATTCCTATTACAAATCACAAAATCTGAATCTATCATCTCAAGCATGCAGCACACAATGGAATCTACTGCTCATTTCTTCAGTATTTCTGCTGACAATAAGAGTGTTTGTCAAAACATTTTTATGATTTTGCTAGAATATTCCAGTTGGATTTTTGTAGTATTGTTAATATTGTTAGTATTTTTGGTGATAGCAAGAAACCACAAAATTGAAAGAGTTCACCTTCAAACTTTAAATTTAATAAATAAAAAAAGGAATTTTTGTGTCCAAATTGTAATTTTTATTTAAATAATTAGCTATATTGTGAGTATAATGTATATATAGTAGGACACACTACAGTGGAGACTTTGCCAAAACCCTAAAAAGTATGTGCATGTATCTGAATATACATTTGACTAGATATTTTTCAAGACACTAGTATTTAGCTTAAAGTCACATTTAAAGGCTTACCTAGGTTAACTAGGGTGAAGTTAGGGTAATTAGGCAAGTCATTGTATAACAGTGGTCTGTGTGTAAATATTGCTTAAAGGGTCACGAAACAGCAAAACACCTTTTTTGAGCTGTTGACAGAGTTTTTAGCAGCGTGGGACACATATATGACTATTAGGACACGTATATTTCACCAAAAAAGTGAAAATTGGTTGTTTTTTTGTTATTTCGATCAAATTCGTTCTTCCGATTTTAAATTAATTATTGAAGCTGCATCACGCCGATTAGATCCTTCTGTGTATTTCAGTGTCTGTACAACGTGACGTATTTGAGTGTGCAGCATTAATTCATAAGACTTGGTTCAAACCAATCAGCACGCTCTATTTTGTATGAGGTGCAACTTCGAGGATTGTTTTTACCTGTTGCAGTGTTCAACGGCAGAGAGACACCACGTTGTGTTGCCAAAACAAGAAAAAGAAGAATTGTTTGGAGACACGGGTCGTCAGTGTTGTGTTAATAAATGTGCTGCAATGAAGGTTTTGTTTTCTTTTCCTGCTATGAGAGTGCAGCTGGACTCGCATGTGGATTACAGTGCACGCGACAAGCAAAATAAATGTTTGTAATAGTGCTTTTACATCTGTAGTTCACTTCATTTGGTCCGGACCAACGGTAATAAATGATAAACTGTTGCATTTTCTGCCGTCTTTAGGTCGTTTTCACACCACACTGCTGGATTTGGTCCGAACCAGTTGAAAAGAACCAAAATGCAGTCATGTGACAAAATCCACATCTCTCATTGGCCAGATGTTGTTGAACATAGTTTCTAAACTGCTTATCGATTGAATCAGAATTCACGTGTAAGAACTCTCGCAAGTAAACAAACCGGCAGACATAAAATGTCGCTCTATACTATGGAGACATTTAGACAAACAATACATTTCGAGAAGGAAGCGCGGCTGGAAAACAATGTTTTAATGCATCGCTCGTCACTTCAGGAGGAGGCGTGAATTAATTTAGCAAAACTGCGACATGGTCATCTTGCGGAAATATTACCAACCATCCATCAGGTAATGTTTTCCCCCTCTCCGAAGGTAAAACGCTGTCAACAAATATTTTTTCTCCATATCCCATAATGCACAGCGCATCGGCCTACGGCAGCTGGATTAGTCCAAAAGGCGCAGTACTTTTTGCGGTTGGGTCTGTTTTAGTTCAGATCATATTCTCACCACAAACGAACCGCTCCAGGGTTTGAAAGCATACCGAAACCACTTCTTCAAGCAGGTCTCGGTACGCTTTTTTGGTCCGCTTTTGGTGCGCACTCGAGTACGATTGCTGCATTCTCACCTGCCCATAAACACCGCAATCAAACTATTAACGCTGTGAGGGATTTTCACCACATTTTGTGACAGGATAGTCTATACACACACGGCTTTCTGATGTTCCCTACAGAGTGCATCTAAGATACAGAGAAATGTGGAGGACAAACTGCAGATGAAGTTGACAAATTAATAGTTTGGCAAACACTTTGATTGCTGATGCCAATGTAAACAGTCACTGTCTTTCTCCCGTGTCTGTGTGTTGTTTTGCAAAATTAGAGCGTGCACAACTGGAAACTCCAATTTTTATGCAAACCCTTTCCTCTTTCCCTCCTCCGAGATTAAACAGAGCTGAACTCACCCGCTTTCCTGACTTTTTTCAAACTAGAGGTGTGAGAACATCCCACTGAGACAGGTTAGGGGGAGGATTTGTGGCCCTTTAAGAGGGTTAATAATATTGACTTTAAAATTGTTTCTTAAAAAAATTAAAAGCCACCTTTATTCAAGCCTAAATAAAACAAATAAGACTTTGTCCAGAGGAAAAAATATTATAGGAAATACTGTGAAAATTTCCTGCTAAACATCATTTGAGAAATATTTGAAAAAAGTTTTCAAAAAAACTGTGCATATATATTCATATTGATTTCAGAGGGTCTTATTTAACTGTATATAACTAATATATATCTGAAGTAACAACAAAAGGGTCAGAAACTTTGCTCACTCTCTCTGATGTTCTCCCATGTCCACTGGTCGTTCTTGAAAAAACCATGCCGCTTGATCTCATCGACTCCATTGCGCCCTAACCGCACCTCCCTACAAATAAAACAAGAGATCAGATCAACACAGCGCATTTGGAGTTAGCAAAGTGGTTGCTAACTTCCTGATACGGAACTGAGCACTGACCTAATTTAAGATCTGTATTTATTAACGTTTCTTTGGTTTCATATTCCCACAAGGCAATGAAAATAACCCACTGTAGGGTACATGATGAGTAATAAAATAAATCAAAGACACTACACATTTGTCTCGTAGCCCGAGGACACCTTCATCATGTGGGATAAAACCTGTTTCACCAAATAAAGATTGACGAATCGAACATTTACACAATGGAAGAGTCAAGAAGAAACAAACCTTTTACTATCGACACACAGAATTATGCTGTAATGCCCAGAAAACCAATGAACCTGCTTAACTGTGTAAAACACCAAGTTTAAGTTAATTTGTGTTTGTCTGTGCAAAACATCTCAGCAAAATGCAGAAATGGCTACAGCAGTGTCTACACAAGGCGTGACTGCTGTTCTAGCTTTAGGCTTTATACACAAAACACATTAAATCATGATTGTGTTGAGTCCATTTGTTGTAAATAGTGCAAACACGCAGATATACGCCAGGATTACTTTAAAGGGATAGGGATTTGTTTAGCTTATTACTTCAGCAGACTGCATTTTAACTTAAATTTAAAGTTATGTTTTGCAAAGATAAAACCAAAGAATCAATTAAATCAAAATATTTGATATCGTCATTATTAAAGTAAATATGAAACTTTTGTTGTTTAGCCATGGTGTGAGTTTGCCTGGGCATTTACATGAATCAATCAATCAATCAATTTAAAAAAATCAATCAAAGAATGAATGAATGAATCGTCAATGAAAGAATCACTAAATGAATCAAAAATTAAATGTAAAAAATTAATTAATGAATCAATCAAATAGCGATTAATCAATAAAGGAATAAATAAATCAATTAACAAAATAACTATCCAATTAATTAATTAATTAATCTAAGAATCAAACAATTAATTATTCGAAGAATCAATCAATGAAACCAAAAATCTATCAAAAAATCCATCAACTAAAGAATGAATCAATCAAATGACTCAATGAATCAATCAATAAGTCATTGAATGATTGAATCAATCAATCATTCAATCAATCAAGAAATCTATCAAAGAATTATTACATCAAGGAATGACTCAAAGAATCACAGATTCAATGAACGAATGAATGATTGAATTAATCAATCAATCAAAACAATCAAAGAATGAATCAATGAATCAATAAAATAATTTTATCAATAAAATAATTAATCAGAGTAGATTAATGAATCAAACAATGAATGATTCATCAATTAATGAACCAATAAATTAATCAACTATTAAATTTATTAATCAATCAATCAAAGAATGATTCAATCAGTCAAAGAATGAACGAATCAAAGAATGAATCAATCAACCAAAGAATGAATGTATCAAATATTTCAACTATCAAAGAATGAATCGGTCAACCAATCAACGAATCAATGAATGAGTGAATGAATTAATCAAAGAATCAATCAAAGAATTAGTCAACGAATCAAAAAACAATTAAAGAATCAATTAATCAAGGAATCAATCAAAGAATGAATAAATCAAAGAATCAATGAATGTATCAAAGACTAAATCAATGTCAAAGAATGAATAAACAAATGAATCAAATAATGAATCAAGGAGTCAATCAATTAATTAAAAAGCCAATCAATCAATAAAAAAATTAATCAATCAGTGAATCAATCAATCAAAGAATCAAACAATCAAAAAATCAATCAGTCAAAGGATCAATCAGAGTCAATGAATAAAATAATTAATTAGAATCAATCAATCAATCAATCAGAGTCAATAAATCAATCAAAGAATGAATAAATAAATGAATCAATCAAAGATTCAATCAACCAATCAAAGAATGAATGAATAAATGAATTGATCAAAGATTCAATCAATCAAGAGAAAAACATCTCTAGATGTGGCATGGGTCTTCCCTACCATAAAATCTATCATAGCAAGCCAGACAAAACTCAGTGCGCTTAGAATATAACACAAGCAGATTTGGGGTAGCACCAGGGTGTCAGACTACACCCTGAGGTTTTAATCCTACAGGTGCTTGTCCACGTCAAGGCCAATAGGTAAATCTTCAAAGCTCTTTTTAATAGTAAACGTATGATTACTTTGCAGTGGAAGAGTTATTCGAACCTGTCGGTGAGGAAAGCGCAGATAAGGCTTTTTGCATCCTTCGAGATGTCGCTGTCTTCAGGGAAGGTCAAGGCGTTCTTGTGATTCATGATCTTGCTGTAGGTTCCCACCAAAGAGTCAGCATAGAACGGCGTGTCACCTGAGGATACATTCACACACACACTCAGTTCTTCTCAATGCCTCCTCTATCCCTCGCTCTCTGATCTCTCAATTCTCAGCAGTTTGTCTTATTTAATTTTTACTATTATTGTTTATTCATTAAAAGCAAAGCCAACATTACTTCTAGAATATCTCCTGACATAAACTCTGTAGTTCCATTCATTTAATCTTTTTAAAAAACTTTAAAGGTCAATATTATTAGTCTCCTGATGCAGCTCTTGTTTTGGATAGTCTACAGAATAAACCACTGTTATACAATGACTTGCCTAATTACCCTAACTTTACCCTCATTACCCTAGTTAAGCCTTTAAATGTAACTTTATTATGTGCTGTCATCATGGCAGAGAGGAAAGAAATCAGATTAGATGTCATTTTAGAACAGAAGGATATAACTCACCAACAAGCATCTCATAAAGGAAGACCCCGACAGACCACCAGTCACACTCGCGGCCATAATAACCGTCTCCTCCCTGAGACTTCAGTACCTCTGGAGAAATATAGTCTGGAGTTCCTACTGCCGTGTCACATCGTACCATCCCGTCCTGACAAACCAGAGAGCAGAGCAGAGTTGAGAGCAGAATGACAGGAGGATAAATGCAACTTGGTAGAAAACGTTTCATGCATTATTTTACATTTGCAAGGTTTTGTTTTAGTGTCTTGTTTTGCATGTCATGACAGAGCTTCCTGAAAGGAACAGCTCACCTAAAAAGGACTGAATTCTGTCATCGTTTTCTCATCCTCCAAACCAGTTTGAGTTTCTTTCTGATGCTGAACACAAATTAAGATATACTTATACTTATTGATTCTTTAACTGACTGATTTTTGATTAATTGATTCTTAAATTGATTGGTTGTTTAATTAATTGACTGGTTGGTTAATTGATTGATTGATTTCTTCATTGATTCTTTGAATAATTGATCATTTATCATTCATTTTTAGATTCATTATTTCTTTGATTGGTTAATTGATTGAATCGTTGGATGGTTGATTTGTTAGTTCATTCATTCATTGATTCTTTGACTGATTGATTTTTTATTCATTGATTAGTTGATTGATTCATTGATTCTTTGACAAATTTATTCGCTAATTGGTTGGTTGTTTGATTGGGTCATTCAATAACTCTTTGACTGATTGATTTTTTGATTCATTGATTAGTTGATTGACTAGTTGATTGATTGATTCATTGATTTGACAAATTGATTAGTTAATTGGTTGGTTGTTTGATTGGGTCATCCTTTGATTCTTTGACTAATTGTTTAACTGGTTCATTCATTCATTGATTCTTTGACTGATAAAGTTTTTGATTTATTGCTTCTTTGATTAGTTGATTGATTGATTGGTTAGTAGATTGGTTCATTCATTGATTCTTTGATTGATTGTTTAATTGGTTCATTCGATCATTGGTTCTTTTGACTGATTGATTTTTTGTCTTATTGATTTGATTGGTTGATTGACTGATTTATTCATTGTTTGACTAAGATTTTTTGATTTATGGATTGATTGATTGATTGGTTGGTTAATTTGTTGATTCTTTGACTGATAGATTTTTTGATTCATTGATTCTTTGATTGGTTGATTCATTCATTCGTTGACTAATGGGTTTTTTGATTCTTTGATTTATTGATTAGTTGACTGGTAAGTTAATTAATTGATTGGTTCATTTATTGATTCTTTGATAGATCAATTGACTGATTTGTTGTTCGATTGACTGCTTCATTCGTTCTTTGACTAATTCATTTTTGACTCTTTGATTTATTGATTGGTTAATTGTTTAGTTAATTAATTGGTTCATTCATGAATTGATTCTTTGACTGATAGATTTTTTTATTAATTGATTCATTGATTGGTTGATTGATTAAGTGATTCATTCATTATTTGACTAATTGTTATTTTGATTCATTGATTCTTTGATTGGATAACTGACTGATTGGTTCATTCATTAATTCTTCGACTGAATAATTGATTCGTTGGTAGGTTGGTTCATTCATTTATTGATTCTTTGACTGACAGATTTTTGATTCATTGATTCTGAAATTCATCGATTGGTTAATTAATCAATTCATTCATTGATTCTTTAACTGATTGTCTTTAATAAATTGATTCTTCGATTGATTGGTTCATTCGATTTCCAACATCCTTCAGAATATCTTGTTTTGTGTTCAGCAGAAGAATAAAATTCATAAATGCGTAGAAGCCCTTGTGAGTTTGAGTAAATGATGTGTAAATGTTCATTTCAGAGGGAACTGCCCCTTTAAGACGTGTATTTTTTGCACGGGTCCAGTACCTTGTTCATTTTCATACAGGTGCCAAAGTCAGCCAGCTTTAAGTGGCCGGACTTGTCTAACAACATGTTGTCTGGCTTTACGTCCCTGAGAAAAAAGGAAAACACACACACACAAATTTCTAAACTGCAACCACATTTCAGCACATAAACAACAGATCAAATGTGTGAAAGAAACCTGTGAATGAAGCCCATGGAGTGGATGCCGTCCAGCGCCAGCACAACCTCCGCAGTGTAGAAGCGTGCCCACTTTTCCGGCACATCATAGTTGCTCATGAGGTTGACCAGGTCTCCACCGGGCATATACTCCATTACCATGTAGAGGTAGCGGTCGTCTTGGAATGCATAAAACAGCTGGAAGACACAAATAAAATAAAGCTTTATCATACTCAGAAATAGGAGTAAACTGTAAAAACACGCGCTATTGTTGTTGTGTATCACGATAACGAAATTTCTTTCACAACAAACATGCTTGTCTTTTTGTTGACAATAAAAAAAAGAAGTGCACCGCGCTTTTTATGTTGCTAGGCAACTGTTGAATCAGCTGCGTATCGTTCTTCTGTTGATATTGCTATAATTGTAATATTCACTAATGCTGTGATATATGAAGTCATACAGCTCTGGAAAACTTGAAACAGCGACCACCAGTTTTAAAAAGTCTGTTCGGTGTGATAGGAACCTTACGATATACTCTCACTGGCCACTTTATTAGGTACACCTTAATAGTACCAAGTTGGACCCCTTTTGCCTTCAGAACTGCCTTAATCCATAGGTTCAACAAGTTGCTGGAAATATTCCTCAGATTTTGCTCCATGTTGACAGGCTGCAGATTTGCTGGCTGCACATCCATGATGTGAATCTCCTGTTCCACTACATCACAAAGGTGCTCTATTGGATTGAGCTCTGGTGACTGTGGAGGCCATTTGAGTACAGTGAACTCACTATCATATTCGAGAAACCAGTCTTAGATGATTCACGCTTTATGACATGGCGCGCTATCCTGCTGGAAGCAGCCATCAGAAGCTACTGTGGTCTTAAAGGGATGGACATGGTCTGCAAGAATACTCAGGTAGTCTGTGGCGTTGACAAGATGCTCAATTGGTACTAATGAGCCCAAAGTGTGCCAATAAAATATATGGACGTGTTGTGTGTTCAGAGATGCTCTTCTGCAGACCTCGATTGCAACAAGAGCTTATTTGAGTTACTGTTGCCTTTCTATCAGCTGGAGCCAGTCTGGACATTCTCCTTTGACCTCTGGCATCAACAAGGCATTTGCGCCCACAGAACTGCCGCTCACTGGATATTTTCTCTTTTTCTGACCATTCTCTGTAAACCTTAGAGATGGTTGTGCGTGAAAATCCCAGTATATCAGCAGATTCTGAAATACTCAGACCAGCTCGTCAGGCACCAACAACCATGCCACGTTCTGATGCTCGTTTTGAACTGCAGCAGATCGTCTTGATCATGTCTACATGCCTAAATGCACTGAGCTGCTGCCAAGTGATTGGCTGATTACAAATTTGTGTTAACCAGCAGTTGGACAGGTGTACCTATAAATTTGAGAAGTCATACAGCTCTGGATAACTCAAGACAGTGAGCACTGGTCTCTCTTCCATCTTTAAAAAAATCTCCGTAGTCGTCTAGACAATAAAAACACTGCAGTTACCTCAACGGAAATCCTCTCCTTCATTTTGATTGGATATTGAAAAAGACGCAACTGACGTAGTGTAATTTTCCAACATTTTTTCGACTGCAGGTGCACAGAGCGCATTGTCAAAAAGGCAAGATGCATAGGCAGCACACAAAATGCTTTCAGCCATTAAAAAAAAACATTCAAACAAGGTGCCTCTCATCTCAAAAAGCGCATTCGGTGTGATCAATGCCTTACCATTTAACATTTCCCTAGAAAAATGGTAATTTCATTAGTCTGTTTTTAAATTATTTTTTTATTCATTTATTTTCTTGTCGGCTTAGTCCCTTTATTAATCTGGGGTTGCCACAGCGGAATGAACCGCCAACTTATCCAGCAAGTTTTTACACAGCGGATGCCCTTCCAGCTGCAACCCATCTCTGGGAAGCATCCACACATACACACACAAACACTCCACACAAAATTTAGCCTACCCAATTCACGTGTACCGCATGTCTTTGGACTGTGGGGGGAAACCGGAGTACCCGGAGGAAACCCACGCGAACGCAGGGAGAACATGCAAACTCCACACAGAAACACCAACTGAGCCAAGGATCGAACCAGCGACCTTCTTGCTGTGAGGCGAACGTGCTACCCACTGCGCCACTGTATCGTCCATTTTTTTATTCAATGATATTAAAATAAACAGTTAAAATTAGGGCCGGAGCAAGCTAAACTGCCCCAACTGACGATCAAGCCGCCCTCAATCCGGAATTCGGGGTTGGGGGGGATTCGCGGATATAACTTAGGACGCGGGTGGTCACGGACGCCGCCCTCTCTATTCTGCCGCCCTATGAACGTGCCGGCCCTGGGTAAAATATATTTTTCAGATTTAATTTATTCAAATTCACACAAAAAAACTGTCAAGGTGCAAACAACAAAAAAAAAGCATGCATTCGTAAAGTTCAAGATCAGTTTCATGCCTCGTTAAACCACTAATAAATCAGATGTGTGTCAATATTAATATGCAGATCAGATTTTATAATGTACTGTGTTTTATGCGTCATTAAACCTGCAACAATAGGGTACATCTCCGTGAACAATTCATTTATTTTCCTTCGTCCCTTATTTATCAGGGGTCGCCACAGCGGAATGAACCGCCAACTATTCCAGCATATGTTTTATGCAGCGGATGTCCTTCCAGCTGCACTCGAGTACTGGAAAACACCCATACACACTCATTCACATTGACCCTCATACACTAGGGCCAATTTAGTTCATCAGTTCACTTCAGCGCATGTGTTTATACTGTGGGGGAAACCGGAGCACCCGGAGGAAACCCAAGCCAACACGGGGAGAACATGCTAACTACAAACAGAAATAAAAACTGACCCAGCCAGGGGGGACTTGAACCAGTAACCTTCTTGCAGTGAGGCCACAGTTTTAACCACTGTACCACCCTTCTCTGTGAATTAAATGATGTCATAATATTCTAAGGAATACAAAAATAATAATAATAATAATAATATTAATCAGATTGTTCGTACCTGTACTACCCAATTACTGTTAGCAAAGGCCATGATATCTCTCTCTTCCCAGAAGAAAGCCGAGTCGGACCTCTTGATCATCTCAAACTTGCTGAGCAGCTTCATGGCGTAGACTTTCCTCGTGGCTTTGTGCCTCACCTACAAAACAGGAAGAGAGAGGGAACACATGAATAGGGCTGCTTATTTACTTTAACCTCGCTGAACTATGGCACACAAATAAAGGAAACAATATAGAGTACAACACTCATGCAGCGTCTACTCTGTTCACAATCATCAGAGGTGAAAAGGGGAACAAAATCTGCTGTAGATGGTGTATAAATCAATTTACTTTCCATTGTCTGATATTGGGTAATGGTCACATGACTTTTATTATTACACTTTATTGTTATTTCATTAAGAAAATACTTTATTCTGACTTTTTACCTAGATTTTAGAGTATACTGAAACCTCTTTCTTTCTGTGACAGTGACCTGATGAAACTGAAGAGAGCCAACAATGATAATAATACAATAGGCGGTTTGCTTTACACTTACCAGTTGTACTTCTCCAAACGCGCCTCTTCCTATGACCTTTACCACTTCATAGTCCTCTGCTTTCATGCGAAGCTCCCGTATTTTGCTGATCGTGTCCTTATCTAGAGAAATAACAAACAATGTTCAATATCTCTGTGTGGTGTAGCATTCATTAACAAAAGAGTTGTAAATAGTTTAATATTTATAGCGCTTCACTTTTTCCACCTTATTTTATGTCACAGCCTTATTTCAAAATAGACTACATTCATTTATTTCCTCAAAATTCTACACCCAACAGCACATAATGACAATAAAATACTGAAATTAAAATAAAAGTAAGTATTCACAGCCTTTGGCAGCATTTACAGCTTCAAGTCTTTGTGAATATGATGCCACAAGCTTGGCACAGCTGTCTTTGGGAATTTTAGCCCATTCCTCTTTGCAGTACCTCTCAAGCTCTATCAGGTTGGATGGGAAGCGACGATGTCAGCCATTTTCAGATCTCTCCAGATATGTTCAATAGTATTTAGGGCTGGGCTCTGGCTGGGCCACTCAAGCACATTCACTGAGTCATTGTGAACCCACTCCATATTTGATATGATATTTTGGCGGTGTTCTTTGGGTCATTGTCCTGCTGGAAGATGACCCGTCACCCCAGTCTGAGGTCAAGAGCACTCTGCAGCAGGTCTTCATTTAGGATGTCTCTATACATTGCTGCATTCATCTTTCCCTCTATCCTGACTAGTCTTCCAGTTCCTGCTGCTGAAAAACATCCCCACAGCATGATGCTGCCACCACCATGCCACACTGTAGGGATGATATTAGCCGGGTGATGAGTGGTGCCTGCTTTTCTCCAAATGTAACGCCTGGCATTCACTCAAAAGAGTTTAATGTTAGTCTGATCAAAGCAGAGAGTTTAGTTTCTTATGGTCTGAGAGTCCTTCAGATGCCTTTTGGCAGATTCCAGGCAGGGAGTGTCTCTACCACTCTACCATACAGATGCCTGATTGATGGATTGCTGCACAGATGGTTGTCCTTCTGTAAGCTTCTTCTCTCTCCACTGAGGAACGCTGGAGCTCAGACAGAGTGACCATCAGGTTATTGATCACCTCTCTGACTAAGGGCCTTTTCCCCCAATCACTCAGCTTGGCCGGCCAGCTCTAGGAAGAGTCCTGGTGGTTCCAAACATCTTCCACTTACTGATGATGGAGGCCGCTGTGCTCATTGGAACTTTCAGAGCAGCAGAAATGCTTCTGTAACCTATCCCAGCCTTGTGTTTTTAGACAATCCTGAACCGAGAGATTTGTGGACTGGAACTGGAACTGTACCAAACCGTCCTTAGATGTATGTTCTGCGTTGCGTTTACCGTATGTTGTATGTTTTTTGACTCTTTATAAAAGAAGAAGCGATTTGAATTATATCCTTCAGCAAATCATGTAATAAAGTTTACAACATAAGAGCCATAAAAACTATGTGAAAAGCAAACAGTCACACAATGACATGCGTTCATTGTTCCAGACAGATGATGAGATGTGGGTTTACCACCCCAGAGTGCCGATAGAGCTTTTGTTGATTGAACATGGAGACAAAATAACATCTGGCTGAAAAATAGCTTTAACCACCCTGAAACAGTCATTATTATGAATGAGTTCAAGAAGAAAAGCTTACATCTTTTTAAGAAGTCATCTATGCTTTTGTTTTTCCTCAGGGCCGGAAAATCCAGATCATAAACCAGCGCGTCCAAACTGTC